CTGCACTCCAGCGCTGCGCGCAACAGAGCGGACTCCGTTCTCAAAACAAAAAAGGAAGAAAGAGAAAGAAAATTCCAATACTCCACACTCACTGAAAACACATATGCATGCAAAATTTGTGTTGCCAAAAGCACCTTCACTGGCCAGGCACAGTGGCTCACGCCTGTAATCCCCGCACTTTGGGAGCCGAGGTGGGTGGATCACTTGAGGTCAGGAGTTCGTGACCCTCCTGGCCAACATAGTGAATTCCTGTAGGAATTATAGACAGTGGCGTGCCTGTAATCCCACCTACTTAGGAGGCTGAGGGAGGAGAATTACTTGAACTCAGGAGGTGGAGGCTACAGTGAGCCAAGGTTGTACCACCGCACTCCAGCTCGGGAGACAGAGCATGAAGTCACCTTCATGGAGATGATTATTGAAAATGGGAACGATCACTGGTTGCAGTGGTGCGTGCTTGTAATCCCAGCTACTGAGGAGGCTGAGGCGGGAGATCCCTTGAGCCTAGGAGCTCGAGGCTGCAGTGAGCTATGATCACACCACTGCACTCCAGCCTGGGTGACAGAGCAAGACCCCATCTCTACAAAAAATTATTTTAAAAATGAGCCAGGAAGGATGGTGTGCACCTGTAGTCCCAGCTACTTAGGAGGCTGAGGCCGGAAGATCTCTTGAGCCTAAGAGTTTGAGGCTGCAGTGGGCTATGATTGAGTCACTGCACTCCAGCCTGGGCAACAGAGAGAGGCCCTGTCTCTTAAAAGAAAAGAAAAGAAAATGGAAGAGATGGTTAAGGCAGAATGATAGGGAAAGGAGAGAACAAATCCTCAGGGATCTTTAAGAATCTAAGGGATTGGGGTAAAAAAAAAAGTAAACAGCAAAAGAAAGAGCAGTGAGTAGCAGAAGAGTTATAGAATGCAATGGTTTTGTTCAAATGAAAAACAGTAATATAATACAAAGGGGATGAGGGCCTAATTAAAAATTAGAGGTCAAGTACCATGTTTGACATTGTCTCACACATAACTTTACAATCTTAACGTTAGTCCTAACAACAGGCCCTGAGGAAGTCATTAGCATCACCATCGTCATCTCCATCTTCATCATTACATTTTATGCAAAAGTACCTGAGGCTTAAAGAGGCGAAGTTCTCAACGTTATATACAATATTAAATAACTGATATTCAAACACAGATCTGACACCAGACACCCTTTTCCACTATATCATGTGTGAGGTGGGGAGGGATATATAGCTTCAAATGACTCCAAACACCAAAGGAAGTTGATGAGTAAACACGACTGTTAGATTTGGAGTCACTGTGTACCTTGTGGCAAGACTTGGCTGAATCCAGGTAGGGAAGCCAGTGAGCAACAGGCTGAGATACAGAAGAGCAAACAGAAGGAATTAGAGTGAGGGCTGCCCTCCCAAGATGCTTGGCAGTGAAAGCAGGAGGGAATAAGCAAACTTTTGGCTTAGAACTAAGTGTATTTGAGGGCTGCATAGGCCAGAATCGGGTGGTGGAGGAGTTAAGAGAGGCTGATGTTAGACTCATGGCTCATTTTCTTCTATCCACCCCCAAACAATGATGGAGTGGCAAGGGTCTGAGTACAACAGCACCAGCAGAAAGGGATATTTCCATACAGGTCCCTAAGCAGCTACTCTGAGCTTTGGGATGTGTGACTCTCACCTGGCTTTGGGATGACATAGCTTGCAAGTATGCCACCATGAGAAAGTGGCATGAGGGTTAATGCTGCTGTGCATGGTTTCTTCTAGACATGTCACTGACGGGCTCCTGAAAGGCACGGACGCAGCCCAAGCCGCACAGTACATGGCTATGGAAAAGGCCACGGCCGCAGAAGTCCTGAAGAGCCAGGAGGAGGCAGCCCACACCTCCAGCCAGCCCTTCCACAGCACAGGTGCCCCTGGCGATGCGAAGTCAGAAGTGGTGCCTTTGTCCGGCATGACGGTTCACCACGCACAGAGCTCCCCTGTGGCCATCCAGCCCTCGCAGCACTCCGTGGCCCTGCTGAACCCTGCTCAGAACTTGCCTCATGTGGCCAGCTCCCCCGCCGTCCCCCAGGAAGTAAGCCCCACCCTGCAGACATTGCAGGCTCCGCAGTCCCCACAGACACCCATGAATGGGTCTGCCATGCAGAGCTTGTTCATTGAAGAAATCCACAGTGTGAGTGCCAAGAACAGGGCAGTGTCTATCGAGGTAGAGTCCTATTTCCATTTCTCATAACCCCATAAAGGAGTCTGATACATGGGCCTTTCCCTCAAAGCATTTATAGGCCGGATGATGATATAATTGTGTATGGATCAGAGACAGAGTTTTGGAAGTGGAAGTGGGATTCAGTGGCCAGGTGAAGAGATAGGTCATCTGGTTTCAGAGAAGGATGAGACACCTAGCCTGTAGGAAGGTGAGGCAGTGGTGTGCTGGTAAATGTTTAACAACCAGCTCTCTGGTACTGGCTGTGGTGGGGGGTAGTCAATCCGCGTTCAGGCGAGCCAAGATCCCATCACTGCACTATAGCCCGGGTGACACAGCGAGACCTGTTTTAAAAACCATGAGATCAAATGACATATTACATTTTGAAATATTCTTTTTTATCAAGGGCGGTATCAATGCTCAATAACACATTTTGGCATTTCTACTTACTTCACTTTATTCTTCTTGCCACATTAACTTG